GTTGAATCAGAGGCAATGAGAGACGTGGAGGTAAAGAAGTACACCATGAAAAGCCATTTTTTCAAGCAATGAGGCGAAATCCCCAAATGAGGCTACAGGTTGGCTTCTATTCGAACACATTCACGTTGACACTAAAACTTACATTCGCACTGGCGACAGGTTTTCCGGCAGAGGTATTGGCGCACGTTGCCCGCCTGGTCACACATCCGGTATGGTTCGGCCTCCAGTTGGGTGCAATGCTTGGTGGGCAGCAGATCGACGCAGTCGAGCATTATCTCCACGGGAAGCACCAGCTGAAGAGGCTTCCGGCCAGTGGAATGCTCCGGCGGCAACGCCACATCACCAACACGACCAACTCCGCCCCGGCTCAGCTTCTTGTCAGACTGGCCCTGTAGCTTTTTGTCTCCAAGCCGAGAGCTGGTCTGTTGGCAACGCACAATGCGATGGCGAGTTCGTTCCTTGCATTGACACTTTTGCAAGAGGTAGACCGTGACGACGAACCGCATCTTGCCGTCTTTACAAGTCGAATGACTAGCCCGAACTTCTGGGCAGCCTGTGAAGGGAGGAAGGTCCCGTTAAACAAGAGTAGAAAATGCATGAAGATGATGCCAACGTATTTAATGCGATCTTTTATGATCAAGGAAATGCCTAAAGGGAATAACGCTTTGGCATACAAAGAATGTTCTATTCACATCGCGAACATCAATTTAATAAAAAAGAGGCATATATATATATATATATATATATATGTATCTTTTATTAATCTTATAATTGTGCAAGAAATTAATGAAAACGAGATGACTTTTGGTTATATTCAATCGAAAATAGTTGGGAATTTTTTAATTCAGTAGCTATTGGGCTAACATTTAGGAAGATAGTCAAATCTTTTTAAGGGGACTAACTTAAAACCGCGGCATGCATACTACTTGATGCTTGTGAGTTGCACAGATTTTTGGATTGATGAAAGCAAACACACGCATGAAAAAGAACTTGCTTCGTTAGTAACCCTCTAAGGATGAAGTGTTATCAATTAATAAATTATTATTTAAATGTCTGCCTAGTTGATTTGCTATTGGGCAGAATGTGTGACTCATTTTTCCAAAGCCTCCTCTTTCAGGACAATCATCAGAATTACAAGTGACTAATAATATTTTTATTATTTTTAGGTAATATGAGATGTATTCACCCAATTTCATTTAAGGTGATGGAGGACTGGTAGAAGAATTTTCCCACAATGCTATGAGTAGAGCTGACGTTTGCATTGAATTTCACAAAGCCTTGCTTTCCAAAAAGTTGTTCTCATTCAAGCAGAAGTGGACTGCAGTTTCGACCTAGCATGGGTCTTATCAACAACCCCAGCGGGAGTCGAACAGTGACCACTCGACCGCATTGCCACGAGTGCTCTTGGGTCACAGGACAGATGTGAATTTCAAGGAAGGCCAGCTTTTTTGCCATATCACATTCTTTGGTGGTGAAATTGAATGGAAACGGAGCTCTACTCATATCAATGTGGAAAAGTTCTTCTACCAGTCCTTCATCACTTTAAATCAAATTGGGTGAATACATATAATATTACCTAAAAATAACAATAATATTATTAGTCACTTGTAATTCTGATGATTGTCCTGAAAGGGGAGGCTTTGGAAAAATGAGTCCTACAGTCAGCCAATTGGCAAATCAACTAGGCAGACATTTATATAATAATTTATTAATTAATAACACTTCATCCTTGCAAATGTTTCGTCATGCAATTAGTCTTCAGCAAATGAACTCAAAAATATCCCAAAACAAGTTCTTGTTCATGCGTGTATTTGCAGTCCGGAATGAGAACAACTTTTTGGAAAAGCAAGTCAATGTGAAATTCAATGGAAACGTCGGCTCAACTCATATCATTGTGGGAAAATTCTTCTACCAGTCCTTCATTACCTTAATCGAAATTGGGTGAATAAATCTCATATTACTGATTTACTGGTTGTCTCGAAACAATACTTAAATGCAAAAAATATTTTAAGGCAGGTAGATAGAACACTCGTCTAGACAAACATGACAAATGCTGACTTCAAGAGGCAATTGAATCGAGAGCTTCTTGAAGGGATAGGCCAACCTATAAGAATCTAATGACTGAAGAAATTGTTCAAGGAGACCTTGGTACTCTTTGGTTATGCCCAATTTTGGAATGGAAGTTGACCTCTTGTCCAGAACAATCTGTTAAAAATGAGGATGTTAGTACAGTAGTCCTAATAGTACAGATGCCCTATGCACTATTCGCTAAATGGTAGCTGGGCACAAAAATACTTGTGGTAACTGAAGTGGATCTACACTAAACTAATTTGCGTTCTCGTTTACGTCATTTATGTCAACAGATAATTAAATAATAATAATATATATTATATATATATATATTATATAATAATAATAATTAAATATCGAACAGAATATTGGATAATAAGTTGAGGGTAAAGAAAGGGGTTCGGAAGCTTGGCTAAAATTAATTTTATATGAGATGTATTCAATCTTTTTCGTTAAGATAATTAAGGACGAGCAATTGGAGTTTACCACAGTGATAAGAATAGAGCTTACTTTTTCACCGAATTTCATACACCACTTGCTTTCACAAAGCCTATTTCTATTCAGGTTGTTGTGGACTGCAGTTTCGACCTCGTCTCAACTGGTCTCATCTGCTATCCTCAAACCTGTAATAAAGCGCTTAGTACCAATTTCCTCAATGAAGTTGAGGTAAGCAAAGTGATTTTCATGATCTGGCGTTGGTCCGAAGTGATTATGCACATGCATTTTGCATTTTAATATATCACTTTATATGACAAACGATAAGCTATTTACGAACCAAAGGCAACCGTCATCTCGTCAAGGACAATACGATAAAGTCTTCTGATGGAATCGACCCTCGAAGCTGGTCATCTTTTTCGCACACACTTTCACACATTCCCATGTGTCGAGGCCGGCTATCTTGGCGGATAGGGTGATCGAATGGAGTCACTTTCAGTCCTATACATGCATGGGAGATGACGTTAGTTGATGAAATGCAGTTTCCTGGCGTCTGAGAATCAATTGCTTGCTAATTTCCCTTCTTTTGCTTAATCTGGTTGCCATGTTGTGCATTTGGGCAGTAGAAATATCGCTGAAAGGGACTTAATAAATGATGGCGAAAGCAAAGCCTCATAGAGCTATCTCGATCTAGTGTCCGTCTTGACCGTCAAGAGAACCATTCTTGGGGAAAGAGGATTTGTCCAGGTCTAATACATTTGGAAATACGTTTTTGGGTCTCGTGCTCTTCTAAGTTTATTCTAATTGCATTTCAGACATTTGCCCCCGAACAAGGTTGTATAATCATTCCAATTTGCACATGAGCAGTTAATAGGACCACTTTGGAGAGGTTTAAATGGATGAAAAAGATGCTACTCACGGATTGAATGCTGCATGTATCTACTGGCCTTCTGACAAAAGCTCTTCAGCTCCTGCGCCAGATGGGCGCTGCTCTGCAGTCCCTTTTGCTGCTGCTGCTGTCCATGTTTCGGCTTTCTTAATGTCCACGTGACAATGTGCAACTCCAGTCTACGTACGCCGTCGAGACACCTCTTGTGCACTCGGGGCGGCGGACAACCGCAGAGACGGCGCGCAGTGACAACAGCCTTCATGCGAACGCATTGACAACCGACTCGTTGCCACTGTATCAATTTTACCTGTCGGTAGGAGTGACCGTCGGCGTGGGCCATACATTCACCGAGCTTGTATTGCGGTCGCTGACAAACTGAGGGATTAAGAGAACAAATCGTTTGGCTAACTGTAATAAAAAGTATGAAAAGACAACCACGATATGAAAAGTATGAAAAGAAGACCACAGATTTTTCAAATTCAGACCATCTACTTATTCGATGATGGGCAAAACTCAACTTAAATTCCCCAAAGCACCTTAAATAATCTAGACTGATTGAGTTCTTATTATAAAATTACGGATATTTTCGAAGGAAACTCATACCGAAATGGCATATTTTTAGTCTTCTTCTATCGACTTTGGCAGATCTGTCGGTTTAAAGTCCACTCTCATCTTCAGCTCGTTCATATGCACTCCAAACCACACAGCTTGCTGCAGTTAAGGCCTGATATCAGTGATTCTTCACTTCACCTCTTCTCTTGATAGGGCAATATTTATCGGACCACCACAAATTTGTGTCATCTGTACCTCCGGCCTTTCAGCCCCGAAAAGTCCATATGCCCTTTACTCCTCAGCCCGGGACACAGCAGGTTAGGGGTGAGAGTCCGTATATGTTCTTGATGGTGACTAGCTTCAACTCGCAAATATCCTTTGTGGATAATCTATGCTTGCGTCCGTCAATCATCATATATCTTAAGATTTCAAGTACGTCAAATGTTCACATAATCTTTTACACCAAAAATCCCCACATGCATTCATTCGCGTCTATACAAACAATCACAATCCCACACACCCTGACATAATAAATATTAAATTCATACATTGTACTTGCATGTGTACTTACGCAAATGCGTGCATAAACACAGATAAAAGCATGCATACATAAGTACATTAGTAGATATGCGCAAATACACACACACACACACACACACACACAGATGCACCAACGCAGCCTCAGTGGTATCTCTCAATCTTTTTTTGGGGATGCCTTCATTTCATAACAAAGTGCATGTAGAAGAGAAGTGTAGATTGATCTCACCAGAAGATGAAGCTGAATCTCGTTGTACTGTAGCCAGTTGGCTTCACTATGACGTTCAGATTAACGCAGTCCACGTGACACCCTTTATCGTTTCGGATAAAAACAGTATAAGCTTTCGTCTACCCTATGATGGATATCATCAGAACTGTAACTCATTCTTGTAAAAGTGTCACGCTAACACTAGGTTACAAGACCAAGGCAACTCTTCTTGGTGTCCCGTAGGTCAATTTACGAATCCTTCTCATCCGCAGTTTTCAAGTGAAATGCAGGCTATCTAATAAATTTATTTTAAATAAAATCGCAATATTCTAAACAAATGAATTCTCCTAAACTGATGACCTCAGCAACAATCAGTAACCGGATAAATTATAGGTTCTATTGTTTGATGTGTATCTATGCCCATTCGTTTTCGTTTTTTAGTTGAGTATGTATAAGAGGTAAAATAGACATTGCACTAATGTGATACTTTTACAAAAATGAGTTCCAGCTCTGATGATGGACGAAAGCTCGGTCCTTTTTGATCCGAAGTGAAGAAGGATGCCTCGTGGACTACGTCAACCTGAACGCCGTATTAAAGACAAACGGCTGCAGAACAACGGGATTCAGACAACGTCTTCTGGTGATATCAACCTGCGAATCTCTTCTTCATGCCCTTTCATTATAAATTTAAGTCTCCCCAGCAACGTATTCTTAGACGATTCATTGAAGCATACTTAAACTTGTTTGTTTAATCATCGACTCTGTAAGGGTTATGGTTGGAAGCAATAGTGTTATTATATGCTACAGCCCGTCTTACTCTGAGTCTCAGAGCTTAAAGATCACTAAACCTTTTTTATTTACTTATATATATCTTGTTTATTGATTATTAGGTTTTTTATATTTAATATAATTTTATATTTGCTTTTTTCGTAAACCAATAGATATTGCTTTTGTTGTGTGATTGAATTAAAAGTAGTAAGTATTAATTTGATCGAAATATTAGTGCAGTTTCTACTAGCAGAGTAGTATTTATGTGCATAGTTTTATTAAGGGGTTAGATATAAGGAGGATAGAAAATAGGATCTTTTTTGTTAAAATGGTTTGATGATTTTTATTGCAATTCCTTCCGATAAGTATTCTCTTGGATTCTATTTTATGTAAGTGCTAGTGTTCTCTGTTTTGTTTTACTGATTTGGAGAGGTTTTAAAACGGATTATTTAATATTATTTTTTATTATAAATTTTGCTTGTGAATAAGCCATAATGTTCCTTTGTTGTTCTTTGATTTAAAATTCTTTTTTGAGGGCAAAATATATAAACTTGTTATTTTCTTTTATACCTTAAAAATAATATGTTCGAGCTTATTCGCCAGATATTCATTATGATTATCCTGTTAGTTTTTTTGAAAGATTGCTTTAACTAATATTTTTAAGGTTTTTGGCTCATAAATATATATTAATTTATTTTTTAGGGCTGCTAACCATACGGCGATTTTTGTATATGTGGTGGCTTAGGCTTCCGATTGTAGTTAAACTATGATCTGTGCCTTGTGGACACAATTACTTTTCAAGTACTCTTCGGAGACTCATGTATGAAACGTGGGTCTAGACTTGGGGTGGAATAAGCCGACATCTACATGTTGATTATTGTCTGTTGCATCTTTCAGGATAGCGACCTAGAGGGATTGATGAACTTACGGACTTTTGTAATTGATTTCTTAACATAGAACCGTCTACATCTGGCCTCCTTCAGACTAGACAACAGGCCTCCGACAGCCTCCGTGCCCGTTCGGCCGTCCGCCAGCTCCAAACGATAGACTGTCGCGTAGGATACTATAAGCCCAGTCTGCGGCAAGCATCGATAACGACGAGGACTGTAGGACTTTTTAGCTGGAATTCTACTGCTCCCTTCCGTCTGAGACTCTGCTCGAGTGCCTCTCCGACCCTTTCGTGAAGATGGCACTGAGCGCCAGGATTCGGCCAATTTCTCCTCTTTAGCCGAGAACTTTCTGCTTGATACTTTCACGCCGTCGAACTCGTCAAGATCCGCCAACTCGTTTTCACCCTCAGACTCAGGCTCCGCCTCCATCGGGCCACCACTTGCGGCATCAACGCGTTGCTCTTCATCCTCTTCCTCAACTGCATCTCTCGACTGGACGCAACCGCAGGCCTCGAACAGTTGGCGTCGTTGTCGCCTGCATTGACAGTTGACGAGACGCCAGTCGAAGCGCTCGACCTCGCGGTAGATCAAGGCCTTGTCAACGCCTTCAAGGAGGAGTTGGTCGGGGAATGGGTATGTCGTTTTAATGGCCTCCCGAAGGATCCGGCCAGGCACCAGACCATCCACGCGACGACATGCGGAGCGCTTGACAACTGGGCTGGTTGGGCATTCTGCAGAATGGGAAAGAGACGAGGCGCGTTTAGCAGTAAAAGCTCAAATTTAGCACAATTCTATCCCTTACCGCCATGCAACTCTCCGTATCTTTAAGTAGAGTCTATGCCGGACAGCTTAAAAAATTAAAGGGAAAAATTCCCAAAATAATCCGACTTACTTCCTCCATCACGGACAGACCAAACGCATGGCTGGATTTAGGGGAGCTTGGATATGCAAAAGTGCAAAGTCGAATTCATTATGATGTGTCCTATAGGAGGGGGCGAATTCTTATGCAACCACAATGGTAATGTGGGGTAGACGGAATTTACCGAATGGTCAAGAATAAATCAAAATAATTCATGCGTGAATTTATCTATAAATTCGGGCATTTTCATTGCTAATAAAATATGAGGAAGGTTTGAGGTATATACATTCTGCAATCGCATTTATTGCATAGAATCGTTGATAGAAATTTGGAAATAATTATTTTTCTTTTGCAGAAAAGTTGATAAATATATTATTAAGTGTTCATTTCCATCCACCTTCTACATACCTAACCATTCATGTGAGATTAACTGCATCTTCGGCATGGGAATTGAATGGAGGAGTTCTTCTTCAGGGTGAAGCAAACATCAATCCATTGGACCTACAAATAAGATGATTTGCACAATTTCCAGACTTGTCTTTCAGATGTAGTTCGGTTCTAGGGATTGCGCTACTTCCTGACGATGCCGAGAATAAGGAATGTGAAACGTCCAGAAATATGCCTAATCAAATGTCAGTTGTTATATGAGAACATGGCAGAGGGCGCAGGTCCCAGTGAATTTTTCGTGGTCTTCTCGAAAACACAATTAAGCTGTAAAAACAAAATCAAATGAATCTTAGAAAGTGAACGAAGACACTGGCAAAGCATGTGGCCAGGTCATCATGATCCTTTAAAGCTTGAAAATCTTGCATCTACTTTATTCGAGGGCATGAAGATCAAGATATTGGGGTCCCTTTTTTGTCGCAATCTTCTTTAGCTACATGCAACTTATCTGAAATCGTTTTCTCAACAGGATCGTATTGCTGGGTAGACCTTAAAGAAAGCACCTTGTCATCTGAACTCCGTTCATTTTCAGGAATTTATCCGGTTTCGTAGTAAACCAAAACTCGTAAAAGGTATAAATCAAACAATTCCTTTGACCTTCATACCACTTGTTTATTCAAGGCTACTCTCGAAGTGTGCCATTTTGAGTGGGTTTAGCGAAACCAACTTATATTTCCCACTTATTTACCATTCTTTCACCTGCAGGTAATGTGATTATGCCACTCTAAACCTGTTCAGGAGGGTACACCTCTGAAATTATCCTGAATAAACTTGCGTAAATCTACCAATTGCACCTTGTAAAGCTGGGAAATGTCCTGACTGCCATGACTTAGCACAAGGTGTAATCGTCTAGGCGCCCTAGCAACACGGCCAAACCAAGCTTAACTAGAGGGGAATTCGTCTACCAAAAGACTATGGGCTGCAAGAATACACATTTATCGTGAGTCGGGAATACTTGATGTTAAACTCTTCTATATTATCCTACAGAAGTAACTGTGCTAATGCACGAAACACACGCTATCACAAAAAGAGTCAGTCTGTTAAAAACGCTCCGACTCACCAACTGGTTTGTAGAAGTGATTCTTCACGATTACGCAGCTGGCCAGGGTCTCGGAGAACACCATTTTTTTGTCTACAAGCTCCTTTATCCTGCCATGTCGACATGTCGTGTACTGTACTCGACGCGAAGCAGGGCAACCTGAATACAAAAGACAGATTCACTAAACTGATTCCATAAGGCCTGTTATGCTGTAAAAAACGATTAAAGTGCGTGAATAGTGAGACGAAAAAGATTGTACATGTCTCGTTGTCAAGTGTTGTGTGGACTTCATCTGTGATAATAGGCTCCCAACCTGACAATGTTGAGGGAGAGAGCAGTTGGAAAGAGTAAATTTGCTTCAGTCTGATTGCCCTCTTGATTTCGAAGTTTAGGATGATGAAGCAACACATTCGCAAGGTCGCATCCGGCAATCAACAAACGGAGCAGTAAATAGACGTTATAGCATTTTAAGATGTGAAGAAAAGCTGTATTTCGAAGAATTGCTTAGTCATTTATTGCGACATGACGTTCCACTTCAAAAGAGAAGTCGGCCGATTCGTGATGTGGTCCCACCCGAAAACCGAAGGAGAATTGCCGCGTCCTGCGACCCCAATGAATCTGTGCTAAGCTTTCGTCTGTACCATCGTGACAGACATCATCCGAGCAGGAATTCATACTTTACGAAATAGAGCAAAACTATACAAATTAAGAGCAAGGTATGGATTTTTGTACAGACGAAAGCCTAGCAAAGGTTGATCGGTGTCGTAGGACAGTGAGCTGGGGACCTTTTCGCACAAATCGACAGTCTTTCTTCGGTTT